ACACATGATATTCATTGACCTAGAAAAAGCTTATCATAGAGTAATTAGGGAGTTAATGTGGTGAGTTTTAGAAAACAAACACGAATCTATTTTATATATTGAAGTGATTAAAGATATGTATGATAGAGTAACACCTAAAGTAAGAACTAATAAAGGAGAAAATAAGTCATTTCTTATAACCGTAAGTTTACATTAAGGGTCAGCCTTAAGGCCACATCTTTTTTGCTTTAGTTATCAACCAACTTAGTAGGCATATTCAGAATGAAGTACCACAGTGTATGTTATTCACTGATGATATAATATTAGTTGACGAAATTAGAACATATATAATTTCTAAAGTAAAAAGGTGAAGGCAAGCTATTGAAACTAAAAGAAAAAAAGCCTATAGTACATATTGATGGCCAAGAGATAGTTAAAAGTAATCAATTTCATTATTTAGAATCAATCATTCGGGATGATGATGAGATTGAAGATGATGTTGCCAATCGAACAAAATCAAGATGATTAAAGTGGAGTGCTTCAGGAGTCTTGTGTGATTGTAACATACCCATGAGACTTGAAAGAAAATTTTTATAGGATAGTTATAAAACTAACAATGTTTTATAGTTCAGAATATTGAAAAATTAAAAAACATGTGCAAAAATTGAGTATAGCATAAATGAGAATGTTGAGATGGTCTAGTGGGTATACACTAAAAGATAGGATAAGAAATGAATACATCCGCAACAAATTAGAGGTTGCTCCTATTAAGAATAAAATGAGAAAGAATAGATTATGATGGTATGCTCATATACAACGTAGACTTTTTAATGCACCGGTTAGAAAATTTGATGATTTTATAGCTAATGGGGCAAAGAGATCAAGAGGTAGAGCTAAAAGAACTTGATTGGAAGCAATCAAAAAAGATATAGTTATGCTCAGCTTAGCAGAGAGGATGACCCATAATAGAGCAGCATGGAAAGAATATAATTCATATAGTCGACTCCAAACATTTAAGATACGGACTTGTTGTTGTTGTTGTGTTCAAATATATCAAAGAAGATTAATATACTTTAAAAGAGGTACTGATGTATTATATAAACTATACTATAGTAACTACTTAAACTACATTCTTTAACTTCATTTCTGATGAGGATCAGAGAACTTTAAGCCCTATGACCACAACATTTATTAAAGATGCCAACTAAAAGGCAACAAAATTCATCATTCTGACCGAAAAAATATTCTACACGCTCAACAACTTTTGATCTCCCAAACTATTCAGTACATATATTCACAATCCATGAGTCAAAAAGCCACTTAATTTTAGCAAGCTCCACGATGGCGAACATTCTGGAAACTATTAAAATCCCATAACAATCACACAAAGTGGACAAAGGAACAATCCACCACAATGGTTCATAATTTGCCTTTAATTTATCCCCTCCAACATTCCCACTTCAAGAAACACGTACACGAACGCAGTAACTTAAAAAGCCCAACAGATAACCAAAATCACAAGAGACGAATGGTCCATACTCTTCTAACTTTAATTTAAAGCTAACATAATCAAGAGAGAGAGAGAGAGAGAGAGACCACATACAGCGAATTTTCACATGGAATCCCATCACGCCAACCTCATCATAAACCCACCCATTATACAATTGCCACAGTCTTTGATGATTATTCCTGCTATAACTTTAATGAAGTTAGTTCATAGGCTGCTTTCTCCTGGCCGGTAGGTTATGATAATAATAATAACAATAATAATAATAATCACGGTCATGATCATTAGATACCGATTTATTCTATTATATTGGTTTTTTATTATGACAGGGTTTCTGACTAAATAAGCATACGTACCTTGTTTAATAAAGTGCGGCGTGACTCAGAACACCTTTTAGTGTTGGACTAGAGACAAATCTAATTCTCTTATGCCAGCCGCGCAAGAGTCCAGAACAGAGCATATAATCCTTCTTAACAAATCTTTGTAGTCTAATGCTAGCTTTACGTCCCAGCTGGGATTTTCTCTGCAAAGATTTTTTAAAGAAATGTGTAAGTAATTGATATACTTGTAAAGAAAGATAAATAATGGTATTACTTCATTTCTATACACACGTGAGGTGGAAGTTTTACCGATCAATTTCGTTAGTGTCACCGAGCCCCTCCAACATGGGACTAAAGACCGAGATTAGCGTATCGAGAACAGCCCTTTCAGTTTCTTCCTGTATCCCAAAAAATAATAACAATAAAGGATATTTTTCAGGATATTGGAGAGCTATGCTTTTAAGAGAACAAGGGAGAAGTTTAGGAGAGAGAAAAAGGCATCTTGAGACACATGTAGAGATAATAAGTATGATGCATGAAAAAGCAAGATCAGCAGGTGCCACCAGCATCAGATAATCTGTAGATATTTCATGGATAAGTTGCAAATATTAAACCAATTAGTTCCTCAAATGCATAAAAAAGATGAAAGCTCACACCCTAAAAATTCTCTTAAATTTTATCCTCCCTATCCAAGAAAGATTTTTCCTATGCTCCGTAGCCTTCAAAAGAGGCTTAAATCAGGAAAAATGTTTCAGAAATGACCATATAGAATTGATATCAAATTAACAACCAGCTGTAAAAATTTACTCATTCCTATAATGGAATATTGTCAAATTAGCTTGAAACCGCATCCACAATTCTACTAATGTCCCACCCACCTCACCGTGATGAGAACACACCTTAATATGAAGAGAGAGAAAATCTTTTAGTCAACAAAACATTGCAGCTCATTTAAATATATCAAAAGGTCGGAGCACACTTTTATCATGCTTCTTATCACTTGGTAAATCTGAGTCATGCTGCTTTCAAAAGTTGAACCCAATGGGAACGACTTGGAAATGGATTACACATTCAGGCTCCATGCATCAGCAGTGCATAATGATATCTAGATTTGCAAATGATCATATTCTACTTTGCACAACTTGAGCAGATGTTGGAAGGCCAACACAAAGACAGCTTAACCTTTCCAATTCCCAACCCACGCCCAACTTCTTTTTTAAATTTTTTCTGGAGTTTATTTTCCATATTGGTCTCCTAAATCTTCCAATATTTGAGATTTTTCCGTCATTAAAATTTCTATTAGGTCCTTCAATCACATGGGTTCTTAAAATTAAGAACCTCAGTTAGTTTTACTATTAATAATTAATTGCGGTTTGGTTAGTTCTTAACCCAACACGGTCAATTACTAAAATACCCCAGTGGAACCCTTCCCCCAAAAACAAAAACGAACCCCAAACATCACTCCGTTCCCATCTTTCAATATTCTATAATTTGAGAGAAATGGGCTAGGAGGAAAATATACCAATGGAAGAGATGAGGGGAGCTGAGTTTGCCCTTTGGATTTGCGGGTCTTGGGACCCGTTAAACAGGTTGGTAAAAACAGAGGGGTATAACTGGAAACCCCATACAAAAAGCTAGACATTCACAGAATATTCCCCTTAAATTAATGTCAACTAATTAGAGGGACTAAATTGCACGAATATATATAATTTAAGGGACCTAATAGCACTTTCAATGATTGAGGATCAAATCTCAAGATTTGGAAGATATAAGGGACTGATATCAAAAAAACCCTTTTTATATCTTCTAACTAATTCAAACCTGTCCCAAGCTCACTTAATGTTTAGTTTAACTGGGGTCAAACTAGTGTTTAACATTTGGTAAGCAATTCACATCAATCTATGCAGCACCTAGCGTACATGAATGGCGAGCAATGCATGCATTCAGTACTGTACAGGATAAGATGAACCTAGTCTAAATCCATACCAAAAGAAAACAATATGCAGTTGCAAGCATCATGAAAATTGAATGGGAAGACTGGAGGAAATGGGGGCTTACATCTTGTCCATGAAACTCAGCATGGAGTTCAATGTCACTGCTCCTCAAAATAGAACGGAGGTGGGCCAATAATGGAGGGGACAACCCATATGTATGGGGCTTGCTACTCTTGGACAACCATGTTCCCCTCACCATGTGACTGGTTCTTGCTGGTTCACCACTTTGACACGAGCTATCATTTTCAGCAGATGGGACATCAAAATCTGAGTCAGACAACAGCACAATTAGCCTGCGCTTAGTCTATATTGACCAATACAAATATCACCTGACATTCAGTTATGTACAAAACAAAATAACAAAAAGAAAAGCATATTAGTAGGCATGGCAAATAGAACCAGAGGGATAACTTATTGGTGAGAATTCAGTCGGATATTTCAGTGGAGGAGTTAAACTGCACAATAAGACCATCAAGTTTGGATAGCGAAAGTCCATCAGACGGACGGTAGGTGACTTATGATGATTAAGGGAAAGATGATGTCATCAGTAGCAAATGACATGCACCAAGCAATGCCAAAAAAAATTATACAACTCAAAACAAGTGTACAAATTCGCAGAAAATGCGTGGTTTACATGCAGAAGGCCCTGATTCGATAAAAGGAAAGGGAATTTCTTAAAAAGCTTGTTAGGTCTTATGTTTATGAGCCAACTATCTAATTTATAGTTTTAATGATTAACAAACAATTCCTAACAATAACATCATTTGTTGAGTGTTTGTATTTGCTTGTTAGGTATTCTACACAAAGAACATCCAGTTGGAGTTTAGATGGAATTGCGCCTCAACGATAATATTCAAAGGAGGTTGGCGGAATCGAAATGAAGCCATTTGTGCATTCAAGTCAAAGATTCTCTATTTAGCTTCATCCTACCAAGTCGAGCTTATTGAAGATCTATAGCTTGGTATAGTGTTTTGTTAGTCTAGGTGTGTTTACTTTATGTGTTATACTTAAGAGCTCAAATATTACACACACACGTTTTCGGTTTATCGTTTTCAAGTTTAACCATATAAATATGAAACAATAGATATATTGATATACATATACATTCGTTTTATATTTATCATCTTTGTTTTGAAAATAATATGTTTGTGGATTAAAGACTTGTTTACACTATTTTATATCTTTCCACAAGTCTATTAGTTTATTAAAAAGTGTTTCAAACTTATTTGAAATTACTTTGTCCAAAATCAAGTGTTATGAGATTTTGTGTTTTGACCGATCTTACAAAATGATGAGTTTTCACAAACAGGAAATGATATTTCAAAATTTTCTTTTCTAACATGTTTATATTCATGTTTATAAACATATCCCCAAGTTTCATAATTTTTAGAATTTATTTGTTATTTTTAAATGTACTTTGAAATTCAACTTTAGTGTTCAATCAAGTCTCAGTGCATGTTTTCAGTCGACTGATAAGGATCATCAGTCAACCGAAAAACTCCTCTAGAATTATCATTTGTTTCTGCTTAGTCGACTGATTCCTATCAGTCGACCCAAACAGCTTATCAGTCGATCGATGGCTTGTATCAGTAGACCGATAAACTATTCTGGATTTTCTAATTTAATTCTGCTCAGTCGACTGATGTCCATCAGTCGACCGAGCCATCTCATCAGTCGACCAATAGCTTCTATCAGTTGACCGACGGAGTGTCGCTTTCCAGAACTCAACAGTCGGATCATCGGTCGACCGATATTACTGTTCAGTCGACCGATCGAGTATTTCATGCCAACGACTAGTTTTTGATGAGCTGAGTTTTGGGGCTATAAATACCCCACTTGCTTTGGTTTTTCTTAAGAGTTTTACATGTGCTTTTGGACTGTTTATTTCAAGTTTAAAAGATCAAAATTTTGTTTATGGTAAGAGGTTTTCACAAGAGAAGGGTTTCAATTTCAAGCTTGAGGCTTTCATCCTCAACACTTACATCTTTTGTTTTTGGAGAAGTTTTCTTAATTCATCTTCTAGCTATTTATCATTTTGTTTCTTATATATTTATGCTAGATTGATTTGAGTTAAATTTCATTTTATTGTTTACACACACAACATTTGAGCTTAGGAATTTCACATATAGTATTTGGGTTGTGAGAGTGTTACATTGAGAGTGAGCTTATATTGAGTTTTCATCCTTATTTAGAGAACAAATTATTTAATTGTACTTAATAGTTGAGATCATGTTGTAATACACAATGATGAGAAACATGGTCAATTCCAAGAGAAGTTGCGTCGGTTGTAAATCCTAGTGAGAGGTAGTAATGAGCACTTGAGAAATGTGACACGACTAGGCCAACACTTAGAGAAGTTTATTGTGTATTAACAATTATGTAAGATTGTAAACGATATCGGTGAGCGTTGAAAACTGATTGTGTAGTTTTTTTAGACAGTGGAGATTCTCCTCGAGGGTAAGGAGTAAAGACGTAGGTCGTGAGTCGACCGAACTCCGTGATCATTTGCCTTGTGTTTACGATTGTTATTTGTGCACTATCTCTCTTGTTCTTGTGTTCATGTTTATTTCGTCCATTGTTTAACTATACATCCTTGCAATTATCACTTGTGTATATCATATTTCTAGGATATAATTAATAAGTTTTTCATTTGACATTAATATCGGATTAGATTAGCAATTACCTTATTCACCCCCCTGTAGGGTACTTTCATTTGGTATCAGAGCTTGGTGTTCTTTGATTTGTGGCTTAATCCCCTAGAGTCAAAGATCCTCATTTTGATTTATTGCTAATCTAGTTTTGTGATTATTTCATCTTGCTTGCATTTATATAATGGATATGCACGGTGCATCTAGTTTAGACTATGTCATTGATATTGCTTCAAAATTTAATGATTTTCTTTATGCTCAATGATGTGTTAGATTTAAACTATTTGTTAAATCTAAACGTTTTAATTTATGAAAAATAATTGATCATGCTTATATTATGCCCACATTGGAGAAATCCAAGTGGAACAATAATGATAAAAGAATATTTATAATGAACAAGCTCTTATTAGAATTTTTGCTTAATACTTTTGATTCATCTATATCTAACAAGCTTGCTCATTTTGAGAGTGCTTACAAATTGTGAGTATTTATAAAAGCACATCAAGGAAAACTTGGAGGAGATCCGACATGTTTTGACGGATTTCACTTTAAGTGTTATTGGAGTTTTATCATGCACATGGTCACTAGGCGATAACCCTAATGAGGTATGCGAGTCTGAATCCGAATGTGATTTATCTATTAATGAACTCGCTTGTGCATATGAGAGATTAATGCATACCTATAACAAATTGTATTATAATTTTATAAATTTAAAAAACAAACATGTTGAGTTAAAATCCGATCATGATATGCTAGCTTCTAAATTTGATTCTATTGCTAAAGAAAATATGATCATCAAAGAAAATAATGAAAAACTAAAATTGGATCATATTGACTTGACTTCCAAAATTGTTAATATAGCTCATGAGAAGAATGACACCTTATTAGAAGTAGAAGCTATTAGAAATGAATTTAATTTTTTTAAGAATGATCATATTTGCTCTACTTCAATTGCCAATGCATGTGTCTAATAATGAGTTGAATCACATGAAAAATCAGATATCTTCATTAGATTCAACCTTAAACAAATGCATTGATAATAAGAACAAACTTATGGACTTGTGTGCAAAGTCACATAATACTAATTTCAAAACACTCACTCACTATGCACACATGTATATCAAAGTTTATAAATGCTCTATTTGCGATCGTAAAGACCATCTTGCAAAATTTTGCTATGATGCACAAAAATCTAAAAAATCTAATACTAATTCTTGTTGTGCATCATATAAAGTTTTCTCATTACACACACATACACATGCACTTATTGTTCATCATAAGCATGTTCATGTGTTCAAGTGTGATTATTGTGCTCGTTTTGATCATTTGACCAAATTTTATTTTGATTTAAAAAAAGTTTCACATTTGTAAAATGTTTCTAAAAAAACCATATTTGTTTGCAAATATTTCACGTGCACAATCAAACGATCAACATAAACAAGTGAATCTATTCCATTGCACTTATTAGTTATTACAATAGGAAGGGTCATTTGCGTGAATATTGTTATGACCGGACCCATGCACAAAATATGCCCAAATAGGATCATAACCCTAGGACTTTGAGCTTTATTGATAGGGATCATGTCCCTAAACTCTTCGGTACCAAGAGTGTTTGGATACCAAAACAAGTGATTTTTTAAAGAACAAAACTTTTAGCCTTTTTTCATGTTCTTTAAAAGATGATTTTTGTTTGGACTTTGTTCGTAAACAAATTTATGAACCTTTTTTTAAAAAAATAGAGAATATTTTTCATCATATTTAGAAAAGAACTTGATTTTTTATATAAAATAAATAGTGTTTTAAATTTTTTATATTGATCAAACTTATTTTTGAGAATTTGTTTTTGTTTTCATTACATATCATGAATTTTTATTGATTTTGATTTAGAAGAAGAGGTATATATTTAGCAACCTCCTAGATTTATTGATCTTTTTCTTCCATATCATGTTTTTCCGGGTGCAAAATCTTTATATGGGTTGAATCAAGATTGCCTTTCTAGTTTTCTTGTCGAAAATGATTTAATTGATGTATGTTTGTTTTATCCTAAGCATACTTCTTTTTTATCTTTGTGGATAAAACATATAAATGTTTCGACATCACTCTTTGTGTGATCATGTAAATAAGTAATATGTATCCCTTATTTATATTGATACAAAATCTTAAAATAGCAGACATTTTTACCAAGCCTCTTTACCAAGAAAATCTTTTGTTGTATAAGAGGCGGGTTAGAATTTTCATGATTTCTTCTTATTTGCGCTATGATTTGCTTTTACTTGAAAATATCTTTTCATGGCTTATAAATTTTTTACTTTCATTTGGATTTTAAATTTTTATGGACTTGTGGCTTTTCATTCATCGATTCTCATGATTTTCATCTCATGATCTTCTTTCATTTGATATATATATCATAATTATCATGACTTATTTAAGAATTGTTTTTACATATATGTTTTGAGACACCGTTCATAATGATATATCTTCATGTGTTCTCATGGTCTCTTTGAATGTGAGTTGTCATGATATTTTTTTATCTATGCTCACATCTTGTTGCCTTATATTTTTCTTTATATATGTTTTAAGGAATTTTGATAGGGGGAACTTTTTTCCTATATTTTTTTTATACTCACCCTTTTTTTTAATAGGGGAAGCTTACGCTCTCTTATCTCTTATTGTTTTCCCCATTTTGATGTTGACAAAGAGGGAGAAACAAGTATTTATAAGTATATCTTGCTTTTTGCTTCCTATTGATTTAATGCATGGGGATTATAAAGTGTATATTCATTTGGTATCATGCATATTTATACTTTTTGTGTAGATTGTTTATTATCATCCAAAAAAAGAGATTGTTAGGTCTCATGTTTATGAGCCTACTATCTAATTTAGTTTTGATGATTAATAAATAATTTCTAACATCGTTTATCGAGTGTTTGTATTTGCTTATTAGGTATTCTACACAAAGATCCTCTAGTTGGAGGTTAGATGGAATTATACCTCAACGATAATATTCAAAGGAGGTTAACGGAATCGAAATGAAACTATTTATGCATTCAAGTCAAAGATTCTCTATTGAGCTTCATCCTACCAAGTCGAGCTTATTGAAAATCTATAGCTTAGTATAGTTTTTTGTTAGTCTAGGTGTGTTTACTTTATGTGTTATACTCAAGAGCTCAAATATTACACACATACGCGTTTTCGATTTATCATTTTCAAGTTTAACCGTATAAATATAAAATAATAGAAATATTGATATACATATACATTCGTTTCATATTTATCATCTTTGTTTTGAAAATAATGTGTTTACGGACTAAAGACTTATTTACACTATTTTATATCTTTCCTTAAGTCTATTAGTTTATTGAAAAGTGTTTCAAACTTGTTTAAAATTATTTTGTCCAAAATCAAGTGTTTTGAGATTTTGTATTTTGATCGATTTTGCAAAATGATGAGTTTTCACAAACGGGGAATGATATTTTAAAAATTTCTTTTCTAACATGTTTATATTCATGTTTCTAAACATTTCCCCAAGTTTTATAATTTTTAGAATTTATTTGTTATTTTTAAATGCACTTTGAAATTCAACTTTAGTGTTTAATCAAGTATATGTGCATGTTTTCAGTCGATTGACAAGGATCATCAGTCGACCGAAGAACTCCTCTGAAATTGTCGTTTGTTTCTGCTTAGTCGACTGATTCCTATCAGTCGACCGAAACAGCTTATCAATCGACCGATAGCTTGCATCAGTCGACCGATAAACTGTTCAGGGTTTTCTAATTTGTTTCTGCTCGGTCGACCGATGTCCATCAGTCGATCGAACCATCTCATCAGTCGACCGATAGCTTCTATCAGTCGACCGACGGAGTGTCGCTTTCCAGAACTCAGCCAACAATCGGATCATCGGTCGACCGATATTACTGTTCAGTCGACCAATAGAGAGTATTTCCTGCCAACGACTAGTTTTTGATAAGCTGAGTTTTTTGGGCTATAAATGCCCCTCTTGCTTTGGTTTTTCTTAAGAGTTTTACAAGTGTTTTTGAGCTATATATTTCAAGCTTTAAAAGATCAAAAATTTGTTTATGTGAAAAGGTTTTCACAAGAGAAGGGTTTCAATTTCAAACTTGAGGCTTTCATCCTCAACACTAACATCTCTTATTCTTGATGAAGTTTTCTTAACTCATCTTTTAGCTATTTATCATTTTGTTTCTTATATATTTATGATAAATTGATTTGAGTTAAATTTTATTTTATTGTTTACACACACAGCCTTTGAGCTTAAGAATTTCACATACAGTATTTGGGTTGTGAGTGTTACATTAAGAGTGAGCTTATATTAAGTTCTCATCCTTATTTAGAGAACAAATTATTTACTTGTGCTTAATAGTTGAGATCACGTTGTAATACACAATGACACTTATAGAAGTGGTTGGTGAGAGACGGGGTCAATTCCAAAAAGAGTGACATCGGTTGTAAATCCTAAGAAGAGGTAGTAATTCCGAGCACTTGAGGAAGGTGACACGGGCTAGACCAACATTTAGAGTGTATTGTGTATTAACAATTGTGTAAGATTGTAAACGTTATCGGTGAGCGTTGAAAACCGATTGTGTAGTTATGTTTTGATTCTCCTCGAGGATGAGCGGAGACGTAGGTCGTGGGTCAACCAAACTCCGTGATCATTGCCTTGTGTTTGCGATTGTCATTTGCGCACTCTCTCTCATGTTCCTGTGTTCATGTTTATTTCGTCCATTTACATCCTTGCATTTATCACTTGTGTATATCATATTGCTAGGATATAGTTAATAAGTTTTTAATTTGGCATAAATATCGAATTAGTTTAGCAATTACCCTATTCACCCCCCATGATACTTTCAAAGCCTACTTCAGATAACACTCCTAAGGGGACTTTTTGATGCATATGGGCCTATGTTGCATGTTAACCACATGGGATGGTGGAAACATGGGCCGGCTGAGAGTCATGACCTGGTGTGCTCCTGAGTGAACTCTTAAGTAGAGATCTGTCAAAATCAATACTACTGAAAGAAAGGGAGCTAATTTCAGTAACAAGTCGTAATCCTAGGCAAACCAGAACTCTGAAGATCTACATGAATCCATCTTTATCATAGAGTTTTGTTAGAGCCACCTTTTTTGCCTGCAAAATCAACATTATGGTAAACTAAACCTAAACACTAATCATGGGATGGGATGGTTGACAAAAATGACAATAATGTCGAGAATATTTATAGCACAGCCACAAGGTAACAGGCTATTATCAGGCCTATTGTCGGATCCAAGCTTGTGCTTGAGCCAGCAGGAATGCACCCAAACTACGGTGGATTGTTCTACCGAAACTCGGGCTGGGCTCAGCTCAGTCAGACTGTGTTGAGGCTAGTCAAACGGGCCCAACCAAACCACCTTATCTAGAATAATTTGGACTAGGGTTTTGGTGCTTGATGAAGAGTGCTCTTCTGATTCTCTGAACCACTGGATTCCATCTGTTGGATGATTCTAATACGACTTGAACGAAGAGTAGCTCTCAAGCTATCACTAAGTCCCCTTCTTGGTTCTACTTGATTGTTTGACAGTGATCTGTCCAAAGACATAAGATATTATTTCTACAATTTTCAGTTGCTTCTAACTGAAGGTTTGAAGGTGATTTGTCTGTGAACTGTAAGTAGTGAGGAAATATTTCTCTTTATGCCAAATAAAAAAGAAAAAGCAAGCAACTAATATAGCAAGCTATCAGATATTTTCTTTCACAGGAATTTATCCTTCAGTTGTTTTAAGGTCAAGTAAGGAAAGAAGAAAAGTTAGTACTTCACCTAAAGGTATAACATCATAAGGGTTGTCACCCTTTGGGAGAAATCCATAGAAGGTGATTAGATGAGATCCAGGGAGGCTTCCATAGCTAAGATAGCATTGCTCTCCTTCACCACAATGTCTTGATACAAGGAACTTTAAGGACTTTGTTTCAGAATTCACTCTGCCATAGCGTAATACATGTGGACATAGCTACAATATAGCAGAACCATCAGAATTAGAAACACTCAAACAATGAAAGAAAAAAGAAGTAAATAAAGTAGTGGGACCTTTCCATATTTATTGCCTAAAATTCAGATTTCACATATTCACGTTTTACAATTTAGGCTTGTGATTTGCATGTAATTCACTCCTCTGTTCATAAGCTTGTGGTCATAAACTTGTTGACTGACACAGTTCCTGTACACAATAAATCCAGTTGAGAGGGCATGAAAAAACTCGTATGCTCTTTCCTTGACCCCTCAGATACATAATTTTGGAGAGGGATGTTATAATATTATTTTTAGATATCTAATTAGCATTAACAAGGCACAATGTTTTCTCAGCTAACCAAATAGTAGGGTGATGGTCAGGGCAGAGATCCAAACTGTCAAGGTGTAGAAGATTTAGATGCAATTAACTTAAGGGGGAAATGTAGAAGAGATAAATTTCTAGATTGCAAGAGTGCAAAATTGCCTTCATGAAAAGATAAAGAGGTTGTAGTTCACGCTGCAAACCGAATGATTAAGAAGTCCAGCAACAGGAACCAGGCAAGTTCTCAGCTTTCCATCAGAACAAACAATCTTCATGCCATTTGAATACCAAAGTTCACAAGCCCACAGGTAGCAGTCCCAGGTATATAGCTCTGGTGGGAATATCTTGGGATATTTAGCAAATAAAGTAGGACACAATGCGTCATACTGCTGGCGCAAATGCTGAAGAAAGAGACAGTTAGTGATGAGAAAAAACGATGGACTTTCCAGCTAAAGCGAACAATCTACAGTAGGATGAAAGAGCACCTCTTTAGCCTGCAATAGTTCTTCAAACAGTAGGGTTCCTTCAAGAGCAGCAAGAGCATCAATTCCAAAAGTCAATCCTGGATTGGTCAACAGTATAAAAACGACTTGCATCAGACAGACTCCTTTACAAAGGTTAGTATTGATGAAACAAGCAAAAGATAGCAATCACCACTTATCTAAATATGCAAAATTACTTCTTTTAGAGAACAAAAAATATTTTTTCAGTTCGCATCCATGTTAAGAAATTGTCGAGACTCGAGCATGAGAAAAGTACCTGTCTTAAACTTTTCTGGCAATGTCTTGAAGTAGATCTTGAACTTGGAATTGGAGTTCCTCCTCTCTTTCATACTCCACAACAACAACATTGTCTCAGAGCTAACATCATCCAGTTCTTTCAAAACGTCAAACTATAGAGTAATGCGAGAATACATGAACAAGAAGCCGATCATACAAATAAGAATACATATTAATGTCTTAACTGAAACACAATACCAGGAATTTCTTAAATAATAAAAGAAATGAAAACATATAATAATGTAGAAAAATGCTCATTCAAGGAACGATGCTTGTCCCTGTTACATCTGATAATCACTCAATTCGAAGAAATTTATTCATCTTGGTATCTCAATGTACCTTGAATATTTATCTCGACGCTTCTATGGTATATCGTTATTCCATCTACAAGTTAATCCTACACAAACTCAAGGAGAGAGGACAATCACAGAATGGATGACAGGGATGGATAAATAAAAGAAGTTTTTACACACAAACTCATTTATTGACATGACAAACCAGTATCGTGTCATTCTAGAGAAGGTAGTACCAAAAAGGATGTCAGGGCTTCTTGATCACGCCATGTTCGCATCCACAATGCAACCCAGTGCAGGAATGTCAAGTGGAAACGAGTTGTGAATGGACTTGGGGAGGATGCTGCGGGTCTGATGAATACAATTTGGGTCTCGCATGTCAGGGATCCGATTATTGTTGACGGGTACATGATTGTTTTCCCTCTACTACACAGCCATGTGGAAGTGGAGGATGGAGAAACTGCTGGATACACTATATACAACAATGCAAAAAATGCATATCGTGGCTATTAATCAAAATTAAAAGAATACCTGGAACGCTTGTCAATCCTATCTCCTAAGTTCTACATGAAAATCTCAAGATCTACCTGAAAAGCTTCCCCAAGAGAAAAAGCATCCATTTGATATCCACCCATCATCGAAAAGGAGCAATACAAAGAGATAGGTTCTTGAAATTTTCTGTTCATTTATTTTTCTAATTTTTCATCTTATCTTCATAAAACTTTCTGTATTTTCATAAGGCCACATATGAACCCTATTTATAGGATTAACTAGCCTTGTAGATAACAAATTCTAAACGACTTAGAATTATTCACAAACTCAATCCATAATGGTCAAGGATAGAATGAAACCGTATTGCACTTGTACCTATTTTAATGACATTAGTGAGACCAATTGGATCCCATATCGAGAATCAATTATTAATCAAATTAATAATTTCAATTTAAGAGTCAAGCCCCTATCCGACCAACTGTTCATAAAAGTTCTATGAGATTAATTATTTAAAAATAATATTATTTTACATTCAATCATTTCCAGTATTATTTATTTAAGGCAACTCTTTTGAGCAGGAAAATTAACCTATTTGCTCATGCCTAAATTGCAATTCACATGAACATAAATAATTTTAAAACATCAAAATATTTTTTATAATAAAATAAATATTGAAAATATTTTCCAAAGCCAACTACTAACAAGAATTTAATAACTTTATGAAAATGCATAATAAATTAACTCATCATAATGAGCACACTGGATTCCATCTAGATAGTCATCTAATAAAATCTCTAGCAACCTAACGTTTCAGGTTATATTACGCTTATTAAGCAAGTTTAATCATCACATTAAAGCATATTAAATTATCAAATTGGAAATAACAATATCATCAGGTCAAAGGGACCATACAACAATTTGAATTCTTTATTTCTTAGGTGACTCATCCTAGAACATCCAAATGTAGTCTAGTAATACACACATCACAATGCATGCTTAAGATATACACTCCGGGAATCCTATTTCACAGTGGTTGAGACCCACCACCACATGGTCCACATCTCATAGTTAGTGTCATGCATAATAACTGGTTATAATGAAGTTATCATTTTTTAGCTATAGACTAAGCACAAGTTAAAAAAAACCTCTAAATTAGATCATATCACCAAGCAAGTGATCATCATAGTGCATGATCTAACAAAATAATTTCTAAAGATATTATACCAATTATAAAAATGATACATAAATTATATGCGCAACAATTAAATCTATTAATATTTAAAAAATACATAATTTAATGTTTAAGGGCATATTATTACTACTCTAGCAGAAACTCCTAATAGCCGAGCAATTGACAATCATATTGACGCAAGAATTGAAAGCAGTGATGCGGTATGGCTGGAGCTCTTGATAAGAGGCCCAAGTTCCTTTCCTTCAAAAAAAATAAATAAAAATGGAAAGCAGGGAAAACATTGGACATGCTCTCTCTCCAGTCAATTGTCCATTATTGCTTGGATGAGCAATGTACTTTATGATGTAAATCTTTACTAATGTCTCATTAATGAAAGAGAGTAAAAATAACCAAACTTTAGCACTCATCAACAAGACAAAGATATTATTAATTACAAACACTGGTGCATGGTCACTTCAAGAAAAGAGTAGTAGCCACAATGTATGCTTGGATGCATGGTACTCCATAGATACTCCTCCAATGTGCATAAAATATAAATTGCATCCCAAGCATATAAAATGACGTGACCAAGACCAAGCGGCAAAAAAACCTAATTCATAAATAATCTGTTTGCGCTTCCATTGGGTTTGTAATTTAATAATATAATAGACAAACCTCACTTTATGAAGAACAGTAAGGTTGATTTATATAGCTCAAAATGAATCATATTTTCTGATATGTATGCTTTCTTGATCACTCTGCCATTATAAATCCATGTCTACATTTAATATATCGACCAACATACAGATAATTTCTGATATGTTGGATTTCTTAAGAACTGTTATATCAAAAACATCCACAATGCAGCATAGAACTAAAGGTAACCTCATACCATATCAGATTCACGAGAAAGATAAGTTCATACCATATCAGATTCACGGACATGTTCCTCAGATATGATAAGCGACTCAGGAACCTCCAGAGCTATGTCACCAATTTTAATATCTTCTGATGCAACTGCTCCTCTTCCAGCTTCTTCAAAATCTAAACTATCGAAGAAAAGAAATATAAGAATGTCAATGATAAGGCAGGAATAACCCAGGATGAAGGTTGGAATGATCTCTTGAAATAACTATGAGAATAATGCCAGAGATCAGAAATAGATTGTACTTAATCAGATGACAATGTTTGCAAACAACAGGACCAGATAGCATGCACACACTAATGATGGAAATATAGCAGCAGTGCTGAAATATTTGATTCAGCTTTATCTGACAATGACACTTTGACATTTATTTATGCCCACTTTTATCTGAGAGTAAATTTCTGATGAATATTTGGTTCAGATTTTGTTTTGAAGGTTTTTTGAAGACGCCAGATGGGTTAATTCAGGTTTTGCAAAAGAGGTTAAATATTCATGCAGGTCATCTTTTTCTGTATTTAGTAGGATGCAGTGGCGGTTTGGGGGTGCTGCTATTTACTTTTGATACTAGATTAGCAGATATCAATAAATTCGTATTCCTTGAATACTGATATTTCTCATCTATCCCCTATTCAGGTAACAAGAAAAACTAAAGGGATACTTACATTACCTCTCTCCCTGAACCAATCAGAGAAGTCCTTAACTGTCCTATTTATACCTCATCCTTAAATAGTTCATTTGCTGAACATAATTTTCTAATGGGATAGATCCTGACCATGTTGATCCACCAAAAGAAATTATCAAGTGTCTATGCACTATGCAGTACTTTCCAAGTTTATCTTCCTCTGCTACCAGCATCCTTCAGTCTCCAATGATCATCTATCTAAAACTCTGGTTGTTTGGTTGTGATAGTTGCATGGATTGTTCATACAAGTGAATGCCATTACAAGGATTCTAAATCGTTCGCTTAGTACGCTAGCAAGTTGCCCAAATCTACTAGTCTGTGTAACCAAATAACGTAACTTACCCTTGTTGCTTAGTACGCTTAGTACACTAGCAAGTAGCACTATATTGGAATGATAACCAGGATATGAACACATAATTTTTCTCAACATAAGGAGTCTAGCTTCAGACTTACAAGCAATCTTCAGCTTTGTTCTTATGCCACAACTGTCCCCCCATTTTAACAGCTCTTTAGCATCAACAGGAAAGTCCTTAGCAACCATGTAGTCTGTGTATTTAGCACCGACAGAGTTTATCATAGCCACAGTTGCATTTTGTAAGATTTGCAAGACTTCCAACCCATCAGGTTTAGCACAAGATATCAAGGAACTAATCATTAAGAGTATTGTATTAAGGGATTCAAGCTCATTTCTGCAGCTAAAGGGACCATAATCATCATCTTCCATAAAATATAGCTCTACCTGAGTGGAAGAAAAAGAAACTCAAGTCCCTGAGTTCTAGTTGAAAAATATTATGACAAAGTAGTTTATCAAAAATTAAAAAACACTTCACAATTATGAAGGAAGAAGAAAATTTTTGGCCGGCAGCAATATATTACCTCATCTAGATACAATATTCTTGCAGATCTGACGATTTGTTCAAATATATGGAACACCTCTTCTCTATTTGAAGGCACAGGCACTTGAAATTTAAACGTCAGGTCGCTGCCATGTACTAAATCCTGGCGACAAAAGGAATAAATCTTACAATCAACTCATAAAATGCAACAGGAAATGGTTATTTGTACAAGCTTGAAATAAAATGAATGAATATGCTTAATTACAAACGTTGCTTGCACGAAGAGAAGTTGCATTCAGCTCAAAATTCTAGCTTCACCTGTTATCTTTTAACGACCAACCTTCATCTATTATGATTGTCACAAGCTATAATATAAACATAAAAAAGAAACCCTAGGTTCAACAATCGGGGCAAAGTCTAACATAAATAAGGTCTAAATCAAATCGAATGAAATGAAGATTGGAAATCGACGGGATTTAAGGACTCATTGAACAAAAAAATAATCAAAATAAAATACAACTCCCGCGAGCACAAGCAATTGCTTAACAAAAAGTACCTTCTTTTGGGAGAAAAGGGGATCATCCTCAGAGAGAGATGGGAGGCACAGAGTAAGCATTTCGCTCCTTTTCGTCTCTCTTTCTGCAGCTTCAGCCATTTCCAATTCTTCAATCGAAGAAAAAATTACAGTATCGTAGAACTTTAACGATAAAAGCGAGAAAAAGCCCTAATTTCAGAGAAATGAGGAACACTGAAGGAGGATTAAGGGTTTAGGGTTTATCAGAAGCCCTAACTTCGGAGAAAAGATAGAGATAGACCGTAATTTATGGGCTAGACTTAGGGCCGACTATTTATAAAAAAGAAAGACCGTCCGTTAAATTGGATGGGGTCCATTTTCGGCCCTTAATACAGTGTTATCTATCTATACTACTATATAATTAGTGGTGACATTTTCGCCCTTCCTATTATTTGTAACTAGTATGAACACCGTACAAAGCACGTCATATTTTTTTTCGCTATAGTAACCTCGGTTTAACTGTTACATTAATATTTTTTATTTTTTAAATTGCTACAGTATTCCGCCTCCACTACAGTTCCCGTGTGCTACAGAAATAATTTTTTTAAAAAAAATCCATGTTGTCCAGTTTTTATATTTGCTGTAGCAATAATGCTACAGTGAATACTACTGTAGCATTTACTGTGTCATGAATAGTGAATGCTGGGTTCTCCCATTTGTATAGAGGAGTAGATTTAATGGGTAAAATAATCATTTTGTAATAGAAATATTTTCTTTTTCATTCTTATTTCTATAAGATTCTAAATCATGACATGAGAATAGGATTTGAACCCACATAATTAATATTGTAACTTTTTGAGAGAAACCTTTATTTTATTTCTTTTCTTTTTTTCCTTTTTTATTTCTAAAACATTTTTAAATCATGAAATGATAATGTACAAATAATTAAATTGTAATATCCCATTTTTCTTTTTCTTTTTTTATTTTAGTCATTTGCTATAATTATATTGTCCTCAATTAGGAAACTACTCAACAAAATTGTTTTAAGGATAGATTTATTTGATAAATAACAGATTAATGTATATTTTAATTTAGAGCGTCATAATAAAGTTGCATAAATTAAGTTATCATCAAACTATTAAAAGAAAATATAAGACTAATCATATAACTAATTATAATACTATATAATGCACATAATGGGGGTACTAAAAGTTGGATGAGTGGTAGACACTATCCTCCTTCCTATTGTAAGATGGAGGATGAAATGGTAATATTGTGAGAGCTTTTATTTTATTTCCTTTTATTTATTTTCGTTATTATTTCTACAAGTCTCTAAATCATGACATGAGAATAGGATTTGAACTCACGCAATTAAGATCATAAGTTTTTAAGAGAATCTTTTATTTTTAACTTTCTTATTTCTACAACATTCTAAATCATGAAATAATAATGCACACATGATTAAATAGCAATATATCCATTTTTCATTTTTTTATTTTAATCGTTTATTCTAATTATATTACCCTCAATTAGAAAACTACTCAACCAATTTGTGTTAAGGATGGATTTAATTGCTAAATAACAGTTTAAGATATATTTTCTACGTAGAACCCTATAATAAAATTATTTAAATTAAGTCATCATTAAACTTTTATATAAAAATATAAGACTAATCGTATAACTTGGTATGTTTAACGCATGTGCCAATATACTAGTTATTATTACCTGTGGGCCAAGCCTTCCAAAGAGAAAATCCTTGGTCAGCCATTTAACAATCTAGGTAGACATGGTCAATGCCCAAGAGAAAAAAAGTCATATATAAAATCATTTTGAGGCAAGACAAATGAAAAATTCCTTGGGGACCCCAAATTATGGGACTCAATGGGGGACAGGTGAGGTGTCAACCACTAGATGCATGATCTACTGTTCATGAACAGTAGATCATGCACCCAGGGGTTGACACCTCATATGTCCCCCCTTGGGTCCCGTGATTTGGGGTCCCTGTAGAACAACTCCAAGACAAATATCAATTACATATATTAATATGACCACATTTCCTATACATTAACATTCTTACACCACAAATAGCAAGTTATTAACTATGACATTTATATCTGGATAAGGATCCTTCTTGAATAATCTAACTTTTTTGACCAAAATTAATTAGATGATAAAGGAGCTAGAATAGAGTGCTAAATCTCTGATAACAAGGATCTCTTAGGGGATGTTTGGTTGGTTTCCTAAAAATCAAGAAAAGGAAAAGGTTACATTGAAATCAATAAAATATTAATTTCATCCATTTGCATTCCTAAAACTCACAATAACATTCAATAAAATATTATTTTTATCCCACAACTCATCTCATATCATCTCCTAAAAATAAACCAAATACAAAAAATATGTCACATCATCCAACTCATCTCATCTCCATCACATCTCATCTTTAAAAATCACTCACATCATCCAATAATATGGTGACAACTCATCACATCTCATTAACATTTTATTTCCATACATTTCCTCTAAAAAAGCTAGGAAATCAATTTCCTTAAGTGCGGGTCACATCATCCAATAATATAATGATAACTCATCGCATCTCATCTATTTTCTTATTTTTATGAATGAACCAAACACAAGAAAATAACCTATTACAGGAAATATGTTTCTTATAATTTATTTTCTTATTTTTTAGCCAACCAAACAACCTCAAAATAAATTTTCTTAAAAAATCACCCACATCATCCAATAAAATAATGTGATAACCCATCTCTCATTCTTTAATTTCCTTCTTTTTTTAGCCAACCAAACAATCTTAAAACAATTTTTCTTAGAATTTGGTTTCCTATTCTTTGATTTCTCTCTTTTTTTAGGTAAACAAACAGCCCCTAAAAAGAAAGAAGAAACTTTGCGATAGGCTGTGATATTGTCGGTAAGCATTGATAACACTGCGGGTTACGTGGATGAAGAAATTATTGGTCCACAGATATCAGAATATTTACAACAATTGAAAGGTTTAATCCTTGAAGTAGAAACAATGTTCTATAGTTAAGGAAAAAGATAACTACGCGACAAGTTTTGTACTACATTTAGGGGGTGCTTGTTTCACTCTTTTTATAGAGTAGGATTAGGATTTGAATCTGACAGGAGCAAAACTATAAAAAAATGATTCTAAATGTATCATATTCCTAAGTTTGGTTCATAACAATTTTATAGATTTTGAAATCAATAAAATTTGAAAAGAGGGGGAGGGTTATGGAAACTCAAATCCAATAGTTTTGGGTGGAATTTGGTGAAAAAACTGACACCACCCACTTTATTTCCCTTTCTCTTTGTTTTTAGAAATCCATAAAAAACAAACATATAAATGATTCTATATTTTCTCAATACAAATCAAACTAAAGAATAGGAATTAGAGGGTTTCTATAAAGTTGGATTCTATATTTCATGTTATGAAACAAACATAGAAAGGTAAAAAAAAAGGATTCCACAATATTCCATGATAACATAAAATTGTCCATAATTTTTTTATAGATTAGGTATTAATCCATAAAAACATCATTTTCCTAATCCTATTCTAGCTCATTATTGAACCAAGCACCCTCTTAAGAAGGGTTATTGGTTGGGACAAATTGGGGCCAAGTGGGAAAATTGTTCCAATGCATTTGGGATATTTTGAGTGGAGTAAAGTGGTATAAAGTGGGATAATAAGATAATTTGAGCCTTTGATTTGACAATTCATGTGAAATAATTGATGATATGGCATCTTATTAAAATATAATTTTATCTATTAATTACTTCTAAATTAACTTATCCAATTGGTTTAGTATATTATTATAATATAAATATTATTTTACTCTATATTAAAATATAAGATATTGTACTATACTTACAAATTACTATTATTAAATATTATATTGTGTTATATTATATTATATTAGCATGCTATACTATATATAATAATTAATATAATATAATATCAATATATTTAATATAATATTTTAATAATGTAATATTTAATATAATATATTATACAATAATTACTAATTAACATTATATTAGTATGCTACATTATATAATAATTGATATAATATATGAATAATATATTTAATATAATACTTTAATAATATATTATTTAATTTAATATATTATAATATAGTATCATAGGATATAATGTACTTTATAAAATATTATAATATTTTACTTTATTCAATGTAATACAATTAGTAATTATTATATTATATTATAATAGTATGTCATATATATAATAACTATAGTAATATTTTATAAATTAATTATATAATAATATATTATATAATAATATATGTTATTAAAATATTATATATATGTTATTAAAATATTAATATATGTTATTATATAATATTATTAATATATGTTAGTAAATTATGTTATTAATATATGTTATATATCATGTCATATATTTATAATATAATTACACGTATTAGTTAAGTAAAAAAAAATATTTTAAAATTATCCCAATTGCCTTCAAAGTGGAACAACATTGTTCCAAGATGGAGGATGGGGTAAATTTTTACTATTGGGATAAAAATTTTGTATATGAGTAGGGTAATTTTATCCCAAGTGGTGTAATTGTCTCACTAATGTTCCAAAAAATCAATAACACAAAAAGGTATTATCCTTGTTCCATTGTCCCAATCAGGGGCGTAGCCAGGGTACTCTTGCCTTGGGCAGCTGCCCAGGGTAAGAAAGTGGCAGGCCCTCTACGCATCAGCTCCTACTTCTTCGCCGGTTGGCCAGCCCTCTACGCCTCCGTCCTCTACGGCGGCGTCTTCGGCCTCCTCTCCATGGGCGCCGCCCTCTCCGTCGTTGTTCCGGCCACGGTGGTGACCTGAATCACCGTCCTCATGTTGCTCGCCTTCGCGTGGAAACCAAGGAGGACGTTGCTTATGGAGGCAGTCTGGCAGGGACGTAGCCTAGCGATTTTTTTGCCCAGGGAAAAAAAAATTCCTGGGTACGCCACTGGTCCCAATGAATAACACTATGAAATAGAATCTCCAAAATTATCTCATTATCCCCTAAAATATCCCAACCAATAACCCCCAACAAGTGTGTAGGGTCTTTCTTGAAAATTATCAAGAAAATTTATGAATCACTTTGTAGTATTGTTAATTATCATTGCTCTAGTAAAAATAAAAAAAAATCAATTCTATCCGGATTCCTAAAAAATAAAAAATAAAAATCTGTCAATACTATCAGTCTACTTTCGTATTCGTTATTTAGAAAGAAAAAAACAAATGAGAAAGATTGTGTC